TAAGATGTTACAAATGCCTGGGATATGGACACGTCTTGGGCAATTGTCAAAACGAAAACAGATCCAAGCTGTGCTTCCGGTGTGGAAGCTCAAACCACCGGAAGAAAGAGTGTCCAGGCCCAGCACGGTGCTTCCTTTGCCCAACAACGGACAACAAGCACGAAGCAGGCAGCGGAAGCTGCCCTTTATTTAGAAGAGCCCTGAAAGAGGCCAGGGATAAGGCCCAAGCAGGAATTAAATAAGGCAAAAAGGCCTTGAGTTGAAAGACAGGCTTATGTGGACCCACGCTGCGCTGGGTACTTTTTACCTATCAGCAAGGGAAAGCATTAAGCTTATAGTGGTGCTGGCTGAGTGGGCGGCCTGCTATGAAGCGCTAGACAAGGTGCTGGTCCTCAGGGACCCCGAGTCCTTTTCAGGACTCGAGAGGATTGGCACCTCTAGCAACTGGTGGCGAGCTTGCTCGCTAATGCTGCGAGACGTGATGGTCTCCTTGGTGGCTCCACCCTGAAGTAATGCTAACGCGGTTCCAGGGTGGATCAAAAGCCACGCGGCATGGGGGGGGTTTTAGTGGGTATGGGTGGTCTAATAAAAAAAATCCACCGAGTCCCACACTACCGCTGTCCCTGCGGTGTGCCTCAATGCATTTCCCCTCCCTCCACAAAAAAAAAACTACTACTCCTCCCTACTTTTACTATTACCACCTCTACTACTACTTCTACTATTACTACTATTACTACTACTTCTACTATTACTACTACTACTTCTACTCCTATTACTACTACTACTTCAACTACTACCACTACTTAAACCTCTACTACTACCACCCCCGGTGGCCTACTATCACCCTCTAGGGGCTGCTCACCCTCTAGGGGCTGCTAGACCTTATCGTTGGTGGGAGTGCCTGGCTTGAGATGGGATAGGCTCCAAAGAAATAGGTGATCATTCGTCTAAATGTGAGAGGGACTGGGTTTCCCCGAAAACAAAAGAAAAAACAAAAAAAGGGAAACTTTAAAAAATGAACGAGAGTATGAGTGGTGTATGCGTGTAGGGACTAAAGCTTGAAGGGAGCTGTCTGGTCCCGAATGAAAACCAGCTGACTTGGAGGGCCGGCAAGGGCTGACCCCCGTCTAAGTCACTAAGAATTAGCCTGCTGTCTTGGTATGGTGGTAACCTTGACAGGTCTCAACCAATCCCTACCCTGTCGTGTATAGAACTAAGCGGCGGTTATAACATTTTTCTGAGATACATGCATCACACTCTCACTAAACAAACACAGGGATACTTACGAAATGTCCTGGGTTGCGGGTGGTGGGGTCTTTCCCGGACTTGCGTTGGAGGCCTGGTGGCGGGTGAAGCCGGACGATGAGGCCCAGGTAAGTCTGGGTAACCACATCTGATATGGCTGTACGCCTCATAAACAAAAAAGACGTGGTGGGCTGNGGTTAAGGAAATATTATGTTTGTTTATTACGAATAACAAATTGATATTTTTTTACTTATTTCATGTTATTGTAGCAAAAGAACTCAGAATATGTGGAGGAATAAGCAGTGGTGGCTTGGTTTGCTGTACCTCAGACATGGAGGATCGCTTACAAATGAATGCAAAAGATAAACATGATAAAGCAACAAAACAGACTCTTCAACGACTGCAATACATATTACATACAAGGGCCATTAAGTTTCATGGTAAGATGTTTGTTCACAATAACTATACCTCCAAATCCCAGCAATAATGATTTTTTAAAATTAAATGATACGTACATGCACTTTTTTTATCAAAACATCACTTAAACAAAGTTATTGTTAAAACGTATGCATAGCAATGTGATGCGAAGACCACATATCAAACAAATAACGTAAATACTATTTAAATTATTATGAGCATGGTACCATGTTCTTAAAACTTCTATGAGCAAAATTTCTTAAGTTATGAATGATACATACCAAACTCTTATCCGTAGTTTTAGTACATAAATTTTGTAAAAAAAATTTTTTCAACTTTGAGCTTTCTTTTAGTGACGTCAATTAAAAATAGATTTAGCAAAATATTATCATGTATATTTTAGAACTATTCTACTAACAAACCTACGCTCTGTTAAAGGTGGCTCAAGCGAACTGCATGTAAAAGTTCCTAAATGTATAAAACACTTTGAAATTGTATAGGATTGTATAAACTTTCATCTTTGCGATGAAGCCAAAAAAAATGTTAACGAGGCTCCATCGCCTACTGCGGTAGTCAATTCAGTGACGATCGATGCGATGTCACTAGACGAAAGCTTTCTTTTATACTAGTAGTATGTTGGTAACGAAGTTTGTTTTGTTTTCAACTGAGTCCACCTACTATTATATATAGTTTACTATATATTTATACAGTCAGCTGTTAAATAATTTAATATTAATGATTGCCATAATTTACTGCGTTATTACCCAACAAATAAAAATTGAAAAATCATAAAAGTTTTCATGTTATTTTACAAATTCAATTTTTTTTTATTGCGCGCGCTCCCTAGACCAATATGGCCGGCAGTGTTTGTCACTGCACTCATCGAACGTAGCTGCAGACCAAAATAGTAATTTAGCTATTTTGTTAATTTTTTCATCGCCAATGCCTATAAAGTCACCCGGTTTCTTAAAGATGAGAGTGTCAGGGTTACGATAAGTATATTTTTTTGCTTGTACATTCCATTTTAGTAGTTTAATTGATAGTCAAAAGTTTGCTTCAGGCCTTCGGCCATAAGAGACTGTGTTAAGTGAGCTCAAAAAGTGCTGACTTTAAATTGAATTATCTCCGGATTTTGATCGCCAACTAATAAAAATAAAAATACCATTGGATTCAGCGCGATCTCAACTTTAATAATATATCTGTCAAAGTTCTTGTATACTCCGTGATGGAGCCTCCTTAAGTTAAGGTTTAGTTTGGTAAAATATTCGTTTGTAGGTCGTGCGTTTAGCTCATGTTATATAAGACCACTTATTAAGTAGCATAATGGAATAAGTCACACTTAAATGTAAGTATAAAAATAAAAGAGCTCTAATGACTTAGTGGTTAGCGTACTAGCCTCCTAGCCAGAGAAATTTGAGGGGTTGTGGATTCAAATCCCATAGAAATTTATCGAGATTTATTTCTCGGGCTTCAATGATGAGATGATTCCGTAACACCATCTATCCGAATTTTAAAAATAAATAGTGAATTTTTGAAATTATACTTCTATAGGCGTGTTTTGCATCATATAATAAATAAACGATTTCAGATTGATGACATTGAGAAAATATGTAACGAAAGTAAATTTCTCATATTATCTTTTCCCTCACCTTGTCCCGCCAGCCCCCTGTACGCCGCCTTGTCTCATCATACTCCAGTGCTGCACTAGCAGTGAAGTCCCCTCTACCTTCTACACCTCCCCGCAAATATATGCAGCAACGCTGGAAATTATTTCTCATATGGATGTACTTACGTACACACTTTAACGCATGCTTAAAGCCTCCTTTATGGTGTTATTAAAAGGGAAAAAAAGTGAAAACTAAAAAAATAAAAAAAATAAACCATTAGACAGTGGGTGTTGAAGTACCCAAGTAAGAAGTTATACTTCTATAAAATTGTATGGCAGATAATTTAAATATATATATATATACCTTCTGTAAAACCAAATTGTGTACAAAGATCTTGCAATTATTATTGGAATGAGTATACCTACGTTACTTGGATGTGATTTCAATAAATATTCTCATACTTAGCAAGTGAACAATTTTAATCAACATATTATGGCTTGGATCAATATGTGTATATATATATATATATATATATGTGTATGTATAGAGGCCAGGCAGTAAAGACTATGCAGCTTTATTTAACCTTCCGATGATTTCAAAACTATTTTTTACCACCTACGCTGATTACATGTCCAAAGTCACCCTCGCATCTGTCACATACGTTCATTTCTTATTCCTAGCCCATATTTGATACCCAAAACATAATTGTATCTCTAAAATTGAGACAGACCATCCTGTTGTACCGTATTCTCCAATTGCATAGTACTACATGCCAGTGAATGTCCCTTAAGGACGTTCATCACACATAGATTTTTCTAACAGATATTATTCAAGTATCAAAAGTATACTAAAAATACTATTAAAAAAAAAACCCAAAAAAAGTTGCAGATCGTTCAACTAAACCCTTTTTCACATATTTAATTTAAAAAATTTGCTACTTAATATGTAACCTTCTGGAAAAATCTCTTAAAATTGCATTTATAAAATTTGTATAAACCTCCCATTTTTGTTCATATTAAAGATTACTTTTAGATAAACCTGTTTCATTTTCCAAAAGATTAATAATTTTTTTTTTTTTTTATAATAACACAAAAGAGAAGAATTTGAAAATGCGTAAAAGCGTGGATGTAAGTACATCCATTTGAAAAAAAATGATTTCCACCATTGCTGCATATATTTTCGTTCCTCCCACCTCTGAATTTTGACCTGAACTTTTCCCCCCGAGCTATGTGATAAACGTCCTGAAGTTAAAATTCCCTTGATCACGGAGAAAAAATTGTGAAATAAGAAAAAGTAATTAAAATCTATTATTTTATTTATACAGTACAAAAATTTTTTTATTGTGATTATAAAAATTTTGAAAACATGGGAAAAATTGTGTAAACAATTATTTGTTTTATTGGGGCCTAATTAGTGATAAGTAAATTAATGATTTTTAATAAATATAAAAGCTGCTCAGTTAATGTATAGTAATTTCCAAATTTAAAAGAAAACATGTATCCGAAAAATATATTTTGTTAAGTACATTATTTACTTATTTATTCAATATATAATTGAACCAAATGGATTGATACACAGTGCGTGAAAATAGTTTACATTAAAAATAAGTTGAAAACTATATAAGATAAAGTAATCAAATTTCCTTAATCGGGGCCGCTCATAGCAGAGTGCGTTAGGTCCTCGGATAGTGTGCAAGAGGTCAGGAGTTACAACCCATTTAAAAACTGTCTGTGAAACATCTATTGGTACGCTTGGGGGCTCGACAGACGCGGTAGAGCGACCCGTGCGGTGGTACGATCTCTGGTTAAACTCGGCTCAGCTCCTCTCTTTCTCCGCGCGCTTACTGCCGCCCCTCTCTCGTTTGTAAAGTGTACCCGTACATACAGCTGTATTGAAGAATATATAATAATTAAATATCATATATGTATTGTACATATAGCATATCCATATGTAGGCAAATATATTCTTTATTATATATATTATATATGTGTAAATAAAATTTTCAAATTTTAATGACTCCGAAAATCAAACCACACCCTGTCGATTGGTAGTCGGGAAGCTAATCGATTGTGCTACGCAGCACGCCAATCCAATCTTTGTTCTGATTATTTATGGATACTAATTAAGAAACTTCTGAATTAGAAAATTGATTAATAATTGAGCGTTTTTTTATATTATATACATTTGAGAGTGCTAATTAAAAAAAAAATAGTTATGATTATTTTTGAGTGGTCTAATAAT